TTATTATTATTATTATTATTATGGGACATTTTTAAACAAAAGTTTGCTGAATAACACATCTTAGAAAAAAAGCAAGTAGTGATTTACACTTTCTGTTGCCCTTTGTAGTTTTTGTTGAACTCAGTTTTGTTTACATCTTTTTTCATTTCACATTCATACACTTAATGTTCAGTATATTTTTATGATGTTCCGAGCAACAAGGTGGAACCGAAAGCTTTTGCAGACATGCACAGAAATGATGAATGTGTCATGATGTGGGTGAGTTTCTGCTTTGGAGCTCTCTGTGATAAAATTGTTTAACACATGTTCTTTATTTTTGGATAGTGACAGATTAGAATTAAGAGAGGAAATGAATCATGCTTTACCGTACATTACCCCAAAGGTAATTTTTTTCTGTTTATATTTATAACTACACAGTCATCAAAATAGAACTCTGACTTTTTATTCTGAAATACCCCTCTGTATGTGCTGTTAGAATTCCATTAAATATGCAAATCACACACAAAAGTAAGAAACAAAAGACTAGTATGCTGTTTTGAGCATCTTTTTCTTTAAATGACTACACTCAAACAACAAGCTGTGTTTGTAAATTACTCAGAACAAGATACTTTTGTATTAACCCAGACCAGTTAAAAGTTTGGCCAATGAGATCAGAAAAATAATAATTATTATATTAACTATGGAATTTTTGTTTAGTGACTAATTAAATATCCATCCATCCATCCATCCATCCATCCATCCATCCATCCATCCATCCATCCATCCATCCAATCTTCCACTTATTCCGAAGTCGGGTTGCAGGGGCAGCAGCTTAAGCAAGGAAGCCCAGATGTCTCCTTCCACAGCCACCTCTTCCAGTTCCTATGGGAGGATTTTAAGGCATTCCCAGGCCAGATAAGAAGCACAGTCTCTCCAGCATGTCCTGTGTCATTTCCAGGTCTCCTCCCAGTCAAACAAGCCAGAAGCATCTCAGTGCTTCAGGCGTCCAGGAGGCATCCTTGCCAAAATCACCTCAACTGGCAGTGGCTCTACTCCAGGTCTCTCCCAGATAACTGAACTGCTCACCCTGTCTCTAAGGGAGAGTTGYTACCCTGCAGAGAAAAATTATTTCAACCACGTGTCCGAGTTCTTTCGTTTACAAAGTTTGTGGCCATGGGTGAGTGTAGGAACATAGACCGACTGGTAAACAGAGCTGAATCATCTCCTTATTGTGGTGCCTGTAGGAGCTATGCTGCTGGTGGCAATGGAAATTACCCCAAGCATGGTCACCCAAGGCAGAGTGGTCCTAACTGATAGTCCATACAAAGAGTGATTCAAAACACTTGTATGGACAGACAAAATCAAGACGTTCAATGTGCTTTGCCCAGATGTGAGTTACCACGGCCTCACCCTGGAGCCAGGCCTGGGGCTTGTCGGCATGGGCCTGATGACTGTGGCTGTGTCTCGATTCAGGGGTTCCAGCCATTGATATGTATTACTGGTTTGGCTGTCACGTGACCTGAGCATGCTTCACAAGGGGAATTTTTATGCATCGAGCTAATGCTAATGCAAATCATTGAAATCAATGAGGAGAACGCAGAGCGGTGCAAACAAATGCTTAATAAATGTACAAATGGCACAGATACTTTGCTATAAGCTACCAGTATATAAATTATTACAAGTTTACAAGAGCAAAAGGGATTATGTTTCACAGGTAAATATTAAGCATATTTAACCAAAATGAATTATTTTAACTGTAAAATCTGTATGCTAACATTTAAAAAGCTTCAATGTTCATGTTTAACCTTTGATTTGAATTGATTATTTGTTGTCAAATATATAATTTACTGATATTAAACAAGTAAAATAGGGATTTTAATGGATTACTATAGTTAGACTGCATAATAATTCAGAAATTATGATGTAGACTCACAAATGACAGAGACAGTAATGTAATGATTGAGCATCATAAACATAAAATAAATCAGCCTTCAAGTTGTCAGACAGGCCAGTTTATTCTGATATCATATTTTCTACACCCAATATATGTGTTTTCCCACATTTTCAGACAAAAAGAAGAAAAAAATATACAAGCTGTGAGTCAGTGTCAGATACAGCCTTCATCAATATGCAGAACAATTTTTGTGATAACAATAAATTCATTAAACAATTCTTTGTGACCTGAAATAATTTGTACTGATGTTAAAATTATTTCAGTTTATAGCAAAAACTTTAGTGAAGTTAAGCTGATACCTATCAAAATGAATGACAAATGAATGAATGACTGGTTCTAAGTGAATGGATGGATTGATATATAAGTTCAAGTTAGTTTGATGCAGTCATCTTAGAGATTATTTCTTTATTCAGTGGGTTGTGAATGGATTCTTGATACCAATGTTATAGACATTAAACAAATTTTATAAAAGAAGAATATGCTCTAGAGCTCTACTGATCCTGTAGATATTCTTCAATTCCCTGGAAAAAAAATGAGGAAAAACCCTGATCAGATACTTCACTTTTCTGTGGTACAGAAGAATTTTTTATCTTTACAATAACCGTGGGTGAAAACACTTCACTGTTAAGTTCCTACTCAGAAAACACTAAGATGTCTCTGGAAACATCTTTGCAGTGAACCAATTTGCTGCGGAAGAACTGACATCAGAAGTTTCAGTTCTGCATTGGGTTAGATTTAAACCCGACTCCGGGAGGTCAACTTCAGTCACAACAGAACAAGAAGAAGAACCTGGCAACCTCATCATTTCATTAACAGAATCATGAAGACTTTCTGTTTGACTCTCGGGCTGCTGATGCTCATGCTCTGCTGCTGCAACGCCATTCGTGAGTGACCTCTGTGTTTTCTTCGTTGCATTTTAATGGTCCTCATTGATGCGTTGACATTGACAGTATTTATTATTCTCACAGCTTCTGCAATGCAGTTCAGCACAGCTCCTGGAAACTGCTGCTTCAAGTTCAGCTCTAAAAAGATACCGTTACAACGTGTGAAACACATAACCAAGACCCACAGGTCCTGCCTGAAGAAAGGATTCATGTGAGTTTTATTCTTTCTGTATTTTTTTTTTCAATTTTCAGTGTTCAAGTTCTTAAAAGGAATTATGCTAACCAATGGTCAGCACAGATAAGAATTCCATCTGAAAAACACAAAACTTATTTGTTTCATATTTTTATGTTCTGCAGATTTACCACTGTACTGCAGAATCAGATCTGCTACAGTTCAAACTGGGCTCTGAAAACCTACAATGACAAGATTGAAGGCAGCGGCTCGCAGTAAAGATCAAAATTTCATTGCTTTGTACATTATGGCTTCATATACAGAAAATGCTTGTTTTTTCACATGTAAATCTTTTTTTTTTTTGTATTTTAATAAAAACTTTTTGCCATAAATATTGTGGGTTTATGTTTTTTTTTTAATTATAAAAAAACAGGATTTGTGCATGTATTTAGGGTTTTCATCTTGTGACTGATTAGAAACAACTTTTTTATAAACTTGGACAAGTCAGGGACATTTTTTAAATTTATGCGTACACATTTCTGTTTAAAGTCTGAGTTTGAAAAGCTAAAAGATGCAATTGAATGTAAATACATAAGATGTAAAAAAAAAAAAAAAACCAAAACAAACAAAAACTATAAATTCAGAGTATTGTAAATAATTAAAACAAATTTTCTCTTTTTCCAGTATACCCGTATAACTGAAAATATATATTAACACAGGCTTTGTCTTCAATGGAAGTGGCTTAACTGAGAGAACATCCTTTTTATAGAGGCATAAATATATCTGACTGTCATCAGCATAACAATGAAGAAAAATTCCCTGTTTCCCAAGTACTGAAGCAGGTAAAGAGAACAGAGCAGGTGACCTTAAATTTATCCATAAAAGACAGAAGCAGAAAAGGATCCAGAACCAACTGCATAGTGTTATAGAATCGAAAACATGAGGAACACCATAAAAACCAACTTGGTGCCAATGAGATAYTAAAATATTGTGGTCCACTGTATTAAATGCAGCGTTTAGGTTAAAACATGACAAGAAGCACATGTTGGATGGAGTTATTGATCATAAGGATGTCAAGAAGCTGGTAAATCAGGMTGTGTCAAGTTCTAAAACCAGATCAAAATCCTGCAGGATCTCACCATCATCCAGGAGAATCTTAATCTAAGAATAAACAACTTTCTTTAAGATTTTATAAATAAAAATAATTTGGAGATGGGCTTAAAATTAGCCAACACAACTAAAACAAAGTAAAACATGTTTAAGCTATTTTAAAGGCAGCATGACAGGTCAGTGGTTTATGCCGGCCTCACAGCAAGAAGGTCTTGGGTTTGATCCCTGTTTGGACCTGGGGTCTTTCTGTGCGGTGTTTGCATGTTCTCATGCTTGCATGGGTTTTCTCCTGGCTCTGGTTTCCCTCACAGCATGAAAATATGTGCAATAGGTTGCCTTCAGGCCCAGGCTGCCTATTGCAAAATCAACGATCTAAATGGGTTTGCCTTGATAAATAACGGTAAATAAATATATATTTTTGATTCTGTTTGATTATTATTTTAGCACAAATTCACATCACAAGTCCTTAAGGTGCTGTTCAGAATTTACAGTCACACGATTTTATCTCCAATTGATCTAACTGTCTAGAAACAGTTTGTTTCGCATCAGAGACTCTGCAGCTCTTCAGGCGGTGCTTTCCTGCACAAACGCACACCACAAGTTGTTTCCTTACTCTGATAAAAATCTGAGGTTTTACCTACAGTACATTTGCTCCGTGTTACTAATCTCCACATTCTTTGTCTGCCTGACCCTGACCCATTTTAAGACATCAGGATCAGATAAACACCAGCCTGTTTGAATTGTTGATCTGTGGTGCAGTGTGCAGCCTTATCACCTGACACATCGTAAGGTGCTCACTTGTAGCGAGTAGGTGGTATAAAGATCACAGCAATGATGAACTTTTCCTATTGTATCCGAGTAAATCCAAATGTAGAGCATGTAGTTTTTTTTAAAGAATCAGTTTAATTTGACAGCTAAAATACTGTGTGACTTGATGACATCATTCTAAACGAGACTGCAGAAATTARTCTGTTTTGACTTTTTTCTTTTCTTCTTTATGTAACAACAGTAGTGGAGGCACAGAGAGAAAAGTTTGGAGAAAGAACAAAACATGTCATGAAACTACAAGCTGAGAGAAAGAAAACCAGCCTGAGAACACAAAGCACAAAATAAAAACACAAAATAAAGATGAACTAAAAGTTTTTAATTAAAAACCCTCCGAAAATAGGATTAGGGTTATTTTCTTTGTATCTCAGGCAGTAACACACAAAATAAACTTTAAGTGTATCTGAAAAGTTGAGCATCCAAACATTAACTTTATGTTCTGTAATTTGATTTAACATAAATCTGTTTCTGTTTCAGTCTGCAGCTGTGGCTACATTGTAGCTTACCACCATCAGTGTTTGTAATGAATAATGCTAGAAACTTGTGTATGCATTACCATTATTATTATATGTATTCTGATTAAAATTTACTGTATTTTAACTTTTATTCATGGAACTGAAAAGTAATCAAAATGAAAGAGAATTATGGCGTGCGTCAAAACATTTGCAGCAAAACATGGTGGTAGATTGTCTCTGATAATATTGTGGGTTTGAAGACTAACAGTTTTACAGAAGAAAATTAATTAAGATTATTGAAATAACCTTTTGTTAAAGATTTATACATTAAAACAGTTGTAATTATCGGCGTCTTGAAATAATCACACAAGAAAAAAGTATGAGATCAATTTAAAGACAATTTGCAGAATAAAAAAAACTACTTTGTTGTGCCTCCTTCTGCATGGCAGCTTAAAACGTTTAACGTTTGAATATCTTGCATATTTTTTCTCCATAAAATAAAAAAGCTGAATAGATATCCTGAAACTGGGATTGTTCTGTCATTTTGCCTGTAGGTTGTAGGTAACTGTAGATTATATTATCTGTAGATTATATTATATTTTCTTCTGGAGGACCTGGTGGAGATCCAGGAGACATATGTTAAGTTGATTTAAAAAAAATCCCAGTTTTCATCAGCACAAAGTCAATAAAATCACGAATGTACTGTATTGTCCCAAGAGTCTGCTTAAAACAGCATTTTAGCTGGGGTCCAGATATTTTACTGAAAATCCAACAGTGAATCTCAAATGTTTGGTGCCAAAACATTGTTTTTTTTCTTTTTTTTCCTACGCTGGTTACATTTAAAGTCTGGAACAGAACTGAAAGTTTATTTCATCGTATTTGAACCTATTAACAGCTGAGCGGCCTAATATTCTCATAATTCGTCACTGTTACAGGAACAACACATTCTGAGGGTGCAACCCTATTTGTGGTTTGCTAAGATTTGGAGATCAGAGTTCTAGATTTTAGATTTTAAGTTGATTTTTGTGTTGGTTGTTATTCTACAATAATGCAAATTTCCTCTTTGATGGAGAGATAAATTATTATTTAGTTGTATTTTTTAATCTTCTAGGCTCATTTCTTGATAGCCTTTCTACTTTAGTAACATTTATGTTACTAAGTCCCATTGTAAATGAAATATGGGTTCATCAAATCTGCAAATGATTGTGTTGTTTTACGCACTGTCCCAACTTTGTCTGAATTGGGGGTGTGCAGAAACCTTCAAATGTTCGGGAATTTTGGTTGTGGCTTTGTTACATGCAATGGATACCCGATGGAAACAAAAAGAAAACCCACTGACATTTGTTGAGGGATACCTCATCATCGTAGTGATCAGTCCCTCAAACTTTCTGATGTGACGTCAGCGATGACTGTAACCTCTGGTGACCTAAAAACATTTTAAGTACACCTGTGAATACGCAAATGAGAAGAAAGCTGCAGCTATAAGTTGAGGGGATGTGGACAGATGTTTTCAGTTGTCAGAGGTGTTATCATTACATCTGCAGTAAAATCAGCATGAAGACTCTCTGTGTCATGATGGGAACCCTGCTGCTGCTGATGTTCGTTTGCATCAGCTTTGCCATGCGTAAGTTCGTCTACGTTCTACCTGCATTTCTATGGATACAGCTAATTTTCTATTGCATTTTTTATAGTTGTATGTATTGTAGTAGTATAGTATGCAAAGTTGTGGTAACATGTTTTAATTTGGGGGTGGGGGGATTCTGTTCTTGTTATTAAATGAGTTCATTTGTTGTTTTATGTACTTTATTGTTGACCAAACTACTGAAACGGGATGAAAACAAATAAAGTGATGCTGATAAGTTAAAGCATGAATTATCTTGCTACAGTGAATTAAAACTGCAAAGGCATTTGTACGACTTTTTTTTAATGTGGTGGAAGGAAATTGCAACCTTAAGATGGATTGAATTTGTGGAGAACCAAGAATTAATGCACTWATCTGGAAATCTTTTTATGAACTGCTCTCTTTTTGTCACACGTCATTGGCCTTTAATCATTTGATACAGATGGAAAAAGAAACAAAGCCTGAATCTTTGGTCCATCATTCAAAAAATGAGAAATTTTTCTGTCTGTATAACATACTAAAGATAAAGTAACTGGATGACAGACAGTATGCAATTATCTTCATTTGTTTCCCCTTATAGCTCACGGACCAAATGACATGACGCCTGGAACGTGCTGCTTTAAGTTCTTTACAAAAMAAATCCCAGAGGCTCACATTTTGTCCATCGTCAAAACTCACAAAAACTGTTTTAAAAAGGGATATGTGTAAGTTGGCACTTTATTGTMTTTTAAATCCAATCACAAAGAATTCTTGTCTTTGATAAATGAAAGCACCAAGTTTTCTGTGATGCAACAATAATAAAATTGATCTTTCTGCAGGATCGATACTCCCAAAGGAAAGTACTGCGTGAGCCAGACTGAAAAATGGGCCAACAAAGCTTTCAACGAACACAAAGAGCCTTAAAGGTTCACCATGAATGTTCTCCTGCAAAAACAACCTCATTTAGACCAACATCCAGGAATGAAGCATCATGAAACATGTCCTTACAGAAAATTATGTTCTAAAGTTTTGCAAAATTACATATATTGAACCTGATGAGACTGCGGCCCACCTGGTTCTGCTAGAGGCTGAGTCATTTTGCTCCACATTTACTCAGGGATTAATCAGGAAATATGGTAAATGGACTGAACTTACAGCACTTTATCAAGTCCCTCCAGACCCCAAAGTGCTTTACACTTACACTCACCCATTCACACTCTCATTCACACACTGATGATGGTAAGCTACATTGTAGCCACAGCTGCCCTGGGGCGCAATATCAAAGTGAAGACTTCACTTGACTCCAACTGGACTGAAATTGTGATTTTGATTTGAACAAACTTGTTTTTATAAAACCATTCTGAGATGACATTTTGATATATATATATATATATATATATATATATATAAGAAAATATTACAAAAATACACCTGACTTTATGGATTCTGCATCAGTGATTACAAGGTTGTTGAAGAAGTTTTTTTTCAGATTAAATGTGTTTTAAGATGTACTCATTGGCAAAATGTAGATGTAAACATTATACATACAGTATGTATGAGTGTACAGAAACATTTTCATTGATTTTTTTAAGGTTCTGTTCCGAGTACATTTCTGACATGACAAAAATAAAATTAAAAAATATATATAAAAAATAAAATAAAAGTACAACCAGCAGCAGAGCCTRCTGTTTGTACACATATTCAATTATAACCAGATTCCTACAAATAACATTTAATATGATGAATGTTTAATGGTTCCTTTGTTATGAGACAGTAGGCAGTCTGAAAAACTACAAACAGATTAATTTAGAGTAATTTAAGAAAAGTAAAAGTGTTTTTAGGAGTTGTTATAACTGTACAGAGTATTAATATCATCATATGAAAATAAAACATTACAACTCTGAGGATAACAAATTAAAGATTTAACAGTTATATCATTATTTAGGACAAATTAAAAGAGAAGTTTGTTTTATTATAAGTCTGCAAAATGCAGTTAAACACTTTGGTTACATTAGAAAACTTCTACGTCTTCATTACAAGGGWATCTGTTTTTGTTCAGTTATTCACTTTGAGATTTGGCCAATAAAAGGAAATTGTGTTTCAAAAATCTGGACTTCAGGGTTCAGGTCCACGACAACACTCATCATACACACAATATAAAAAGCTATTTGCACTGTAGAGTTAACCAGGGAGGCTTTTGCATAAAGTTGTTTAAACAAACAAGAGAACGGATATCATTTCTGATTTATCGTCTATTATTTTGTCAAAATGTTTCTGATCAAGTACTCACAAAACACACACCTGCCACTAAATCACATCTAAAGGCCCGGTCAGTCCAGGTGCATTAGGTAACGACATTTAAATCTTTTGATGGTTTGCAGGAAAAAAACTTCTAATATCAACTATATTAAAATATGTTTTCAACAAGGAGACGTTCAAAGATTAAAAAAGAAATTATTTAAAAAAGTGATTCTTCAAATATGCTTTTTTCTAATAAGAGACATTTTATTCTAAATATGTAATTGCGAAAACAAAGTTTACTGATATTTGTAATATGAAGAAACATATTTTAAAATCTTTTGCAAACCAGACAAGCATGTTTTAAAATACTACATTTCTAGTGGGACAAACTCAAGACATTTTCAAATTAAACATTTTTTTTCTTTACATTATATGTTTGTTGTTGCTGACAAAAGCAAAAAAGTAAAAATTTTAGCAAACTTATAACGATTTTCACATAAAAAATAATAATAAAAACARATTCAGAAGTTTTCCTTTAACTTTCAGTGACTCTTTATTGACAAACGATATTAAATGTTGGTAATAATGAAAGCTGAACAACACTTATTGTCTATTTGACGTTTATGAGACGTAATTCCTCTGAGCTGTTTTGTGGTGTGACCAGGTCTTAAATCCACCCGACTTCTTCCTGCTCAGCTGCCACCTGATTCAGATCAGTTCCCTCACAGTTGCTCAAAACACCCAAGGTCTGTAAGTGTTGAAGTGTGTGCACACCTGGTAAATCTTTAACAATAAAATAAACAGTTAGTTTACCTGGAGATCTACCTGTGTGGAAGTTATGATGCATGGTCCCTGCCATGGGTTTATCTGCCCCGCTCACTCAGAGGGAATCACTTTAACCTCTTTGTCAGGAAATATAGGAAAATAGAATATCACAAACACATGCATTCCCCACAAAAACAAAAAGCTTTCCACAGAGTCAGTGAACGCTGCAGAGAGACGAGTCTGTGTGTTCTGGTTGAATAGGATTTCTGACGGTGTACGCTCTCATGCCCACATGAACATTAGATGGGATGTGTGAAGTGAAACAGGAGCTCTTCGCTCTTCTTAAAAGATTTTTCCTTTCTTCTTGTTCTTCTCCATCGTTCTGTGAGAAAGAAATTAGAATGTTATATTGCAGCTTGATAAAACCTCAAGACACTAGAAGAGAACGAACCAGGATGTCTCCCAAAGTCTGAATGCTGGATGGAAAAAAACTGGAATAAAAATGTTAAAAATACATATCTTGAATGGTATAAAGTTAATTTTTGTGATAAGTACTTAAAAAGTTTATTTGACTGAATGTTTGTTTTATGTAGTTGTAACAAGATCAACAATTATCTTTGAGGTTTTACAAGATTCACTGATGAAGGACTCGAGCACTCAAACTGAGAAAGTTGTTTTTCACCACAGTTGTGACAAAAACATTTCATGACTCACAAAACTGATTTTAGAGAGAAAATAAAATTACTATACTGACTCAAACTTTTAAAAGACTGACTCACAGATTCAACATTTATTTTAACTTTTGGATTTTTCCATTAATTTAAGGTGCAATATTGACCTTTTTTGGCCTTTATTTTATGTTTATTTTTATGTTTGTAACATACAAGAAACTGTCCTTTCTTAATTTGAAAATGCTGAGTCATCATAATTATCCACATAAAGATGCTGCAGACTTTAAATATCCACTGAAAGGAGGAGGAAGATAAAACCAAACAAAACACAAACCAACATGAAGCCTGAACGTGTTACTGACTTGGAAGCGTCGAGTTTCTGCTGCTCCAAAATTCGTTGCTGAGTCTCCCAGTTGTTCTTCTCCTCTTCAAACACTCGCCTCTTTTCCTCCAGCTCTTTGTACTGCGCCTCCAGGTTCCTCTTCATCTGCTCATGGCGTCTCTCAAGCTTTGGATAGGACAAAAATAATAACAAAAATAAATAAAATAGACTCATATTGACACTCAAATTAACACCAACTCGGCCACAAACCTCAGCCTCTGAATCTTTCAGCTTCTGCTTCTTCTCCTTAACCTTCATTTCAAAGACCTGCTCCATTTCTGCTTCCATCTTCTTCATCTTCATCACATGCTCCCTACGCTCCTCCTCCATCTGAGCCAGGGGGCTCCTGTGGATCAAGGAAACAAACTGGAAGTTAAACATCAGCTTTCAAATAGATGTACTGCACAGATGTAATTAGTATTTCTTTCTTTGTTCAACATTAGTTACTGTTCATACTGGTGCATTGTTAAAATAACTATTTTACATAATGAAGACTAAAACAGCTGAGTCTAAAGTAATCTATGTCTTTGTCTATGTCTATGTCTGTGTCTTTGTTCAAAGTTTGATTTAAATCACTGAAGCTTTACTTTGTGAGTTGTCCCTTGGTCTTGGAGGTGTCCACTCCATTACAGGTGACGGCAGCAAGTTTCTTACTGCGATAATTCTCATAGTGGACATTGTTGGTGACGTCTTTGAGATCCTGCATGTGGGTCCTTAGAAAGAAAAGAAAAAATAAAAAGGAAAATTTGAACAAAATTATTTCTTGCGTGTCAAAATGACACCAAAATTCAAAGCACTTTTTAAAAGTGCCAATTTTCTACATTAAATTAGTAAAAATTGGCCTGCAGGGTCCTCAAACCTCTCTGAAAATTAACACAGTTTGAAAATCAATTAACTTTTTTTTAAGAATTAACAGCATGTTCTTAAATGCCTCTTCATTATTTAAAAGGCAGACTTTAATGTAAACAAATAAATCTTTACCTTAATTTAAGAGCCAATTGTACCTCATTCAATTTAAATGTGTAAAAATCCAAAATACAGTTTTCAATGTGTGTAAATCAGGGCTATTCAACTAAACTGCTCTGGGGGCCACAGTTACTGCAGGCCAACAGCACAGGAGCCAAACATCCAGCAATTAAAGTCATTATGCTAATAAATATATAAAAATCTGTAAAAAATATCCGAAATTATTAATATTTAGTTAAATTAGTCATAGAAGTAATGAGTGGAGAAATCCAGCTGAATAAAACGAGTCAGTGAAGATCACATCCTTTTCCTTACCGGATCAGCATGTTACGCAGAACTGTAAAGTCGCAGTGCTCCCCGTTCTCCACTGAAACAGAGAAACAGAGAGGGAGACACAAACACATGTAAGCTATCAAAGAGAACTGAGGTAGAAACACACTGGAGGCATGAAAGACAGCTGCAAATAAATGTCATCTGTAATATTCTCAGAAGAGGTAGAGAAACACTACAGTTCTGTTGGTTATTACAGAGGATAAACCATGCACTGAGTACTGTTAAAAATGATACACACTAAAATAYATAAACAAACATAAGACAGTGTGTATAACTCATTCAGTCAATAATAAAGGGAGGGGTTCACTTTGAACAAGGCTTTCAGGTATAATCAGTGTTTAAAAAGAAACTGAAGATCAGTTGAAGTATTCCATTAACAAGAAACAAAGGAGAGATTTCGGGCCATGATCAGACAAGTGTTTCATTGTGAACCCTCATCTAAAATACAGAGAAAACAAGTAAAAGTTCCTTTTTAAAAGTCAGCATGTCTGCAGTTTTTCTTCCCGTTATCTGTGTGAAATCATACCAGTTTTTCAATATGACGTTTATAGCTTCTGAAATTTAAGCCAATTTTAACAAACTAAATTAAAAATACCCAAAATAAGATATTCAATGAAATTATTCAAGTTTGTGATGTTCACAGGCTCCTATCTGATCACAGCCCCTCACTACTGGACYCACAGATACGACACAGAACAAACAAAATATTCTGGGTCAAACAACAGTAAACATCTGTTCTCATGGTTCAGTTAGATGGCTGTGAGTTTTCACTGAGACAAAGAAGACAGGGTTACGAGGTCAGATGGGATTCTGGAAAAGGACTGCAGATAAACCGCTGCTCCGGTTGTTTCTGGTGGATCTCCACACCTCCTGGTGCTCCTGACTGATTAGCCTCCAACAAACCCAGCAGTCCATCATCACCAGTGGAGCGAAGAAGGAGGACACCTTACCATTGATGAAACTTAAGCTGTCCTGGACCTTGGCCTCCCAAGCCAGCCACTGACCTCCTGTCTCTTCTAGAGGAGGGAGCTCTGACGGAGGGGAGGGGTATGGTTTTTGAGTTACAGTCTGCGCCCAGCAGAGGGCTAAATCTGGGTCTGGATCAACCGGGATTTTTTTCCCCTCTCTCTCTTTTTTTTATTTACAGCTAAGACTTGGCCCAGAATTGGTCAGTGTTTGGCCCAGTTCAGCCCAGATTTGGCCCAGATCAACACCAAAACCTGCATGTGGACTGGCTACAGAGCACAGGTCTTGCAGAGGGAGTGCAGTGGTTGGATGAGAGTGTGAGAGGAAGATCTGTGCATGACCAGCTGGGGGTGCAAGCCTAGGTAAGGGAAAGGTAAGAGGAGCTATATGGGGGGTCAAAGATTACAGGGAAAAAAACAGGTTGTAATTGAAAAGATATAGATTTTATTTCTTAATGAATGACAGAAAACACCTGATTCCTACTGACGTTTTTTTTTTTAGTTGATTCTAACATTTTATTCATCAGGATTCCAGTTACTGGTGTCAGAAATCTGTGGCAGTAAATCAGGTGTTTTGAGCCTGAGGCTTTTATCTACTGGCAGTGATCACTTAGGTCATGGCAATGAGCTACATTGGTTTAATAAAAAAAAAGAAGAAAAAAACAAAGAGCGCACAGCCTTTCAGTTAAATCATGCAACTGTATGTTTGTATAGGATGCTTTCCCACCATTTCACAAGTTTAACAAAAATCCAGAATGTTAATGAATGAATATTTATGACATAAGCAGCATGTTACCCTAAAGTCTTAAATGAGCTGCTGCATGACTTTCTGAAAAACATTAATGTTCTATTAACTGTTTATGAACATAAAAGCAATGCGTTAGGATGTTGGATTCCACTCTGTGATCCAGTTATGCAGTAAGGTCCTCACCCTGCACCTTTCAGCTCAACCTGTAATGTAACAAGTCAAGCTGTGTGGTGAAGAGAGGCTCAGGATCAAAGAAGGAAACTACAGCGTTAGAGTGATGTTTTTACTGCAGGTGTAGCTTCACTTTCCATTCGCAGCATCAGACCTGGGGCAAAACTTCACATCTCCCGTTCGATTTTAAACTGGTTTTAAAGACAACTCTTCATTATTTCTGCTGAATGTAATACTAAATATTACAACAGTGGCATAGAAAAGAAAAATTGAGCAGTTGAAAGATTGTGCAAGTTTTAAATAAGTGATCCTCAAACGTTTTCCTGCTTGAAAATATACACACTGCCCTAATTCAGTAAAAAAGTTTCCTTTTCAAGTGATTTTGATTAAAAAACTAAATCATTTAGGAGATGGAATGGCCTTAAAAATCCATCAAAATGACCTTAAAAGGTACTCAACCCAAACTGCAAAATCAAACTGTGTTTGTTTGATGTCTTTTTTTATTAAAAATTACAGAAATTGTGTCAATGTTTCATTGAAGATAGTGCTTCTGGTTTAATCAGTTGTGGTTCTACAGTAAATAATAKCAACACTTTTCAAACGTTTATTCTCACCTTTCAATTAAAGTTGACTTTGATTTTGTTATATCTGTTTCATAACATTTAAAAATAATTTTCAATGTTTAGTTTTAGATACATTTCAGAGTTTAGGAGATTTTTTGTCTATAGCCCAAGTCTGATTAAAGCATTGGTTTGACCATCAGCCTAATGATGAAAGAGCAAAGCAACAAAAAAGTGGGATGGAGGTGATTCTGAGAGGAGGTTGGGTTTTATTTTGAGGCAAGAGGTGTGAGGATAAAAAAAACCAAGGTAAAATAAAGTGAAGGATGGTTTTGTTTACCAAAAATGCCCTCTGTCAGTCATGAAATAAAATAGATAAAGAAATAAAGGGGGAAAAGAGAGAAAAGAAAGAAAGAAAACAGTGAAAGACTGATAAAAAGGTCAACCACAAAGCATCAAACGGTGTATCACTTTATTCATTTTAGGATACATACAGTGTACAAGGCTCAAAACAAAATCAACAACACTTTATTGCTGCTGATAGTAAAAAATGTGTCCATCTGAAATATTAGGATGCCTGTTCTTTTCCAGAATCCCCCATTAGGATCAAGACCAACTCTACCAAAAGGAGTGTGTGCACATGTGTGTGTATGCRTGTGTGCTGAAGGAGAGAAGGGAAGACCACAACAAAAACTGGATAACCTCTCACTTGTCAAAATTTAACAGTTAAACCAATCTGTCAAAGTGTGATTTACCAACACTGCAGTGACAGGAGAGTTGTTTTTCATTGAATATCTGCACTAAACATGTTCTGATTTACAGTATGACCTGGTTCTGAGTTCTTAACCCTTTGGTGTAAATTTGATTRGAAACTTTTTGAATATGAATGTGTATTTTGGTTATTAAAGATCCAACAAAATGCCATAATGCCTACAGTTTGTGTCCCATCTTGAATATCTAGTCTTGTTTTTTCTCCCTTTTTGCCATCTTGGTTTTAAATGAGATTCAACATCCTTCTGGAT